AAATTTTTAGTAGTCATTTTATTGGTTATAAAAATATTATTTAAGAAAAATGGGGATTTAAAATTGTTTTTTTGTTTTTTATTTTTTTTTTTAATTTTTTTAAATAAATTTTTATAAATTTTAAGATGTTATATATTAATATTATTCATATTATTCAGGAATAAATTTTTAATCGGCTGCATTTTTTTATTTTTAGAATTTGTGTAATAATCGTCAAACCAATCAAAATTATATTTTATGTGATACAGTCATACCTCTTTTATATTCCCCCTTATTTATATCCCAACCTTGATTAAATCCCACAAATGTGCCATGACGGATTTCCCTATATTATTTAATATAAGCTTTACCTCATTTATATTCCATCAAGTTATATCACTATCCCCAGTTTTCTGGCATTGTTATATCCCCATTTTAACCTTATTTGTACATGATATACATGTGTAACTTACAATTTATATACATAAAATTAATATATTTTCTTTTTTGACAGTTTTTTTTGGTAGCAACTTGGTTGATTTCTTTAGCAACAAAGAATTAATTATTAACTATTGTTTTCTTGGTGGTAATTTTTGCATTCCTTCAATGAAGAAGGTATTTTTAGGTAGCAATTTGGTTTATTCCTTTAACAAAGAATAATTATCAATTATTGTTTTTTTTTGTGGTAACTGGTTATTCCTTTAATGATAAAGAACTAATTGTCAAATTATTCTTTTTTTAGGTGGTATTTTTAACAAAGGAATTGATTATCAATTATTCTTCTTACTTGCTGGTGTTTTTTTAAAAAAATTAGTTGATTCTTTCAAAAACAAAAGAAATTAGTTATCAATTATTCTGATTGTTTTGATGGTGACTTGTTTCTTAAAAATAAAAATAAATTTACTTTTGCAGTTTTAGCAAAGTATCTTCTTTATATATATAAAAAAATTTTGTTTTGGCTTAGGGATAATATGTGTAATGGTTAAAATCATTACAGACAATATTTTTTCATCTTTGTTTTATTTTAATATTTATTATTATTGATTCAGGTGTTATAAAAACTGAATTACCTACTGATGAAGTTATTGTTGAAGACATTCTCATTTCAGAAGGTGTTCATGTTGAAGAGGGAAGATGTGAGTGAAGAGAGCAAGGAAGGACCAGTCATATCTGTAGAAGAAGGAAGGAAAGTACTTGAAAATGCTAAAAAATCCTTGGAACAAGAATTTGCTACAGAAAAAGATGTTAAGTATGTTAAAGAGTTAATAAAATGTTAAATAATATTGAAGATAAGGCAAAATGTCAGTCTTTGTTGACAGAATTTTGTTAATTTTATTGTTATATTAAATAAAAAATTTTTTATTAAATTTTTATAAAAATTTGAAGTCATGTGAATTATCAAATTGTTTTAATTATATCCCACCTTAGTTATATCCCACAAAAATCCCAAAACAAAAGGGGGATATAAAAGAGGTATGACTGTAATTGGAAATAAGATCGACAAAAATCTGGCCAATGAAATAGTTGTTTTTGTGATCTGCAACAGTGTCCACTATGCTGTGAAGAAATTAAAAAAATATTTACTCTCTAGTGCTTGAGCAATAATAGCCATTGTTTTTAAGATGTAGCGGTTGATGTTATTGACCTGTTGTATATTTTCAAAGACACCTACCTATTTTTTAAAGATTGTTTCTTACTGATCCAAAAAGAAAACCACGAATAGAGAATACTTTTCCATTATCAGAAGGCTGCCATCAATAACAAGAAAATGGTCCATAATGTAAATCGTTTACTAAAGCACCTTTATTTAAAAGAGTAACAGGAATACAACGAGTTTTTGACATTAGGAATGAATTTAATATTGGTTCTTTTAAGATTTTAAATTTATATTAAAATTTATATTTATCTTATCCCAAAATTTTTTTAATAATATTTGAAAATTTTCTGCCAATTATAAAAGGATCGGCAATTAAAGATGATGGATTTGATGACGATGTTTCTAGTCTTATAGTAGGACTACAAATATAACAATCATGATTGCTGTGCTCTTTTAATTCTGGAACAATAGCATATTTATCTCTAGTTCAGGATTTATTCAGCTAATTAATTGATTTTCCTGCAAAAATAATCCAAAAACCTGTCCTATTAAAGCTGCGTTTACTCCAAAAAAAGGTTCATAAAAGTCTTCTATGCCATTAATGAATTGAATGGATTTGATGCAATATAAATGACACATTTTTGACATTTAACTTCAGTAATTGTCAATTAGTCATCATTTATCATTCTATTTTATTTATTTTATTGGACAAAATCATTTGTAAATACTTCAAGAGGTATAAATATGCTTGAAATCTCTTTTAGTAAAAAAATAATTGATCTTTCAATAATAACACTTTGGTAATAAAATAACACTTTCATTAATTGATAAATCTGGCATAATTGATCAATTCATAACCCTTTCTGATGATTGATGGTTTGGCCAACATTTAATTATTAGTTAGAGACCCCTTTTATTAGTTTTACTATATTGCTTGCAGGGACGCCTCAAGTAGTGTAGTTGTATATTTTAGTTTAGTTTGAACATTATTGTGCCAGATTTAGTGACTCTGCAATAGTGTTGAGTTTCTATTCGTAATAAGATTTTTGTTCAAATTATTCAAATCATTTGTTTTGTTTGAATTGTTATCATTTGTTTATTATTTGAATTTTATCATTCGTTTATTAGACTTGTTACCATTTGATTATTATTCGAATTGTATCATTCGTTTATTGTTATTATTCGAATTGTATCATTCGTTTATTATTCGAATTGTTATCATTATTTATTATTTGAATTATTCAAATCATTCGTTTATCATTCGCATTGAGATCATTCGTTTATCATTCGAATTGACATCGTTCATTTATTATTTGAATTGTTATCATCATTCGTTTATTATTTGAATCGACATTGTTTGTTTATCATTCGAATTGACATCATTTGTTTATCATTCGAATTGACATCATCATTTGTTTATCATTCGAATTGTTATCATTCATTTATTATTCGAATTGACATCATTGATTTATCATTCGAATTGCATCATTCATTTATTATTATCATTCAAATTGACATCATTCGTTTATCATTTGAATTGTATCATTCATTTATTATTATCATTCGAATTGACATCATTCGTTTATCATTATTATTTGAATTATCATCATTCGTTTATCATTATTATTCGAATTATCATCATTTGTTATTATTATTATTCAAATTGAGATCATTTTTTTATCATTATTATTTGAATTAACATCATTTGTTTATTCAAATATTTGTTTTGCTTGAATTATTCATTTTATTTCGTTTATTCATTTTATTATTCAAACTATTTGTTTATTCATTTTATTCAAACTATTTGAATTATTCAAATTATTATTATTCGTTTATTTGTTTTATTTAAATTATCGATTGAATTATTTATTTTATTTGTTTATTGGTTTATTTGAATTATTCATTCATTTGTTTTATTTGAATTATTGAATTATCAAATTATTCGTTATTTATTTTATTTGAATACTCAAATTCATAACAAGTAAAACAAATAATCCGAATAAACCCTTATTCAAATAGAAGCAGTATAGTTGTATGTAGTGATTTTAATTTAGTTTGCCAGATTTGGTGACTCCAATAACTCTGATTGCATGCTTGCAATATTTATTACAGTTTTATGACTTTAGGGTGTCAATGCTGAATTGTTGTTGTTCAGGTAAAATTTAATTTTTTTTTATATAAATCTAAATATATTTAATATATTTTTGTGATACATATTTGTGGCTGAAAAAAAAAAATTTTTTTTACAAATATACAAAAGCCACAATGGAAACCATTTTGGATGAAAATAAACATCATGACAATACTTCTACTGATAAAAACGATGAATATTCTGATAAAAAAAGAATACGGGGAGTGTCCAATCTGCAATAGATATAATACCTATTATTCATGGTGTCAATCATGTGATCCAAAGTTGTTAACTGAAGGATGGACTAGTGGCAATGAAACATTAGATGAGTTGATTAAAAGTACACAACTTAAAGCAACTGAGTATTGGAATAGTTGCTATCTTCAATGGATTCCTTATAATGATTTAATAAATATTGAAAAGATAGGTGAAGGTGGGTTTGCAACTATATCCAAAGCTACTTGGTTAAATGGTGAGAAAATTACTTATGGAAATAAAAGAACTAGTGAAGATCGGACTGTGGCATTAAAAAAACTACATAATCCACAGAATATTTCTGATGAATTTTTTTAATGAGGTAAATTATTATTTTCTATTTATTTCAGATTTTTAGATATTATTCTGAAATTCATTATATTTTTTTTATATAGTTTAGAAATTATGTTACATTTTATGGTGAAGGTTTTATAAACAAGATTTATGGATTAACACGAGACCTAGCTACAAAAGAACATATCTTTGTAATGGAATACATGGAAGATGGAAGTCTTCAAGATTATGAAGATCCATATAATAGAAAAGAAAAATTGGGGAATGTCCAACCTGCAATAGATATAATACCAGTTATTCATGGTGTCATTCTAGTTTATTAAAAAGAATGGCGAGGAGAATGATAAGATTATTGTTGAGATCGAAGATGATGATGCTGAGGTTGAATCTGAAGTTGAATCTG